AACTAGGCGGAATCCAGTCCCGACAGAAAGTCGAAAATATTTTAAAGCAAGTTTGCCAGCAAGACGCATATGGAAAGAATAAGACAATCAAAGTGAGTTTGGAATGATCCATTGATCTGATTTTTTAAAAGATTAAACAAATATTATACGCTAGAGATCTATAAGAAAGCTTTTTAAAGAGGGTGATATGCTATCCACAGAACGGAAATCTTCAATACCCCAAAGACCTTTAACGGTACAAATAAGACCCTAACCATACTGCATATTGGTTTTCATATTTGTCACCTCATTTCATAGGGGAAAAGTAGTATAGTTTTGAAACTTTGTAGATAAAAAAAGGGAATCTTTTTCTACACTTCTTTAAAAAAAACCACATTAAACAGGAGATAAAGCAAAATTTCCTTTTCCTTAAAGGCTTAAAAGAAGCATTGCTTTTGTTATGTCATTGTATATTTTAATTTGGAATTTAGAACAGAATGAAATGAACAAAAAAGTAAAACAAAATTCTATAAATTTAAATACTGGTGATGATTCATTATGCTTTGAACGTTATCTCCTGAAGAGTAAAGAACTGAAACGCTCCAGTCCATTAACTGAATATAAACCCTTAATTTAAAATATAAGGGAATCGGATCTGGTGCAATTGTTTGGGGTTAACCGGCAGATTTGGCGATGCGATCTTAGAAAGAACTCTGTGTATCATTCAGGGTAAGGCACATCTACCAAAAATAACTTAGTGGTAATGGAGAAAATAGTTGTTGAATAAACTTTTAAAGATGTTTTAGGAATTCACTTGAAATCTGATATCAACAGTGAGTCTTAAAATTTAACTTTTTAAAAGAGATTCATGAAGACTAAAATGCCTGCATTTCCCCATTTTGCTGTAAATTCATTTCTGTGAAAAAGGTTAGCAAGTTTTCTAAGAGTTGTGAGGTATAACCTCTTACCTCTCTACATCCCTGTTAATCGAGTAATCGAGAGGAAACGAGACCTGTATTGTCTGAAAATACTTCTGGTTTCTAAATATATTTTAAGCGAATCAAATGTTTTAATATCCATCAGTAATTATCTCACTACCTCGATGAGTTACAAAATCTTCTGACGTTCCCTTTTAACTATTTAAACGATGGGCACAATTTATAAAAGACGTATTTTTTGGGGGGGAGGGGTTGGTAGCTTCACTGCTTAGAGTAGTGCCTAGTACACAGTAAGCACTCAAAAATACTTGATGACTGACAGTGAAAGGTTGTGAACTGTATAAATGGGATATGGGTAATTCCTAAACTGTAGCATAGCTGAGAAAAAAAATCTGATAAGTATTAACACAACTCCAAGTTATCAAAATTTTAACAGCTTCTAAAAAATGTACATTTAAATCTTACAAAGTATAACCTTGAGCAGATTGATTTCCAATACTCCTATTTACAATTTTGAACATTATGCCAGAAATGAGGTCTTTTTAAATATATAGATATTTCCAGGTGCCCTAATATAGTGTACAGAACTAGAGAAAACGTACTAGGAAATTCCTTAGTAAGGATTTTGCTAGCTTATTTTAATCCAAAATGCAAAAATTTAACTAGTCAACTTCTTTTGATTACTTTCTATAATCCTTGCTTTATCAGAACAAATTTCAAGGAATCAAGAAGTTTAGGGAAGTCCATTTCTGAGGAATCTATGCCAGGTTTGAGAATTTCAAAAAATTGAAGCTTTGGTTCATGTTTGGGATGGATGATGTGGACAGAAATGACAGAGTAGACACAAGCAGTGGAGATTATCTTTGTAAGGAAACTAAAATTAAGAACCATTCTGCTTAAGAAAATATCCTTTCCCATACAATACAGTAAAACCAAGGTGGTGGTGTTTCGTTGTTTTTTTTAATGAGATCTTCGAAAGTTTTCTTAAAAAACTGCCTGAACACCAAAGATGAAGTGACTTCATCAAGGTCACATAGCCAGTGCTATTGGAGGCAGGACTTAAACCCAGTTCTTCCTTCAAGACTAGCTCTCTATTTACTCCACCAACCAGATGGAAGTAGCTTTTCTTAAAATTCTACTTTCAGAACTTGCTTTTCCCTCCACTCCCACCCAGTAATTTACAAGGTCTTTTAAAGAACTTTCATAGAACTCAAATAGATAAAATCACAATTTACTACAGATAAGGAATTACATAATTGGATGTCCTGTCACATTTTTGAATCTCTAGACAAGAGTGGCCTGATAGAGCTCAAACCCCCTACTAAACCAAAAGGGGTTACCTACCAGAAAAAAAACTGGGAAAATACACATTTTTCCTCAATAAGTTAAATATTTAAAATACTCCAGTGACTCTTCTGGGGCTTTTAATAGGACTTTCATCATTCTCAATACATTTGCTGAAGAGATATTATGGTATAGTAGAAAGAGCAATGGATTTGGATTTACACTTGGTTTGGAGGGTGGGCTGCTGCTACGTGACTGTGGGTGAATCATCTGACTGATCTAAACTTGTTTCCTGTCTGTAAGAAAATTCTTACATGAAATACCTCATAAATTTGATCAGAGAAACTTTAGGTAAACTTTAAGATTAGAGATGTTAACATATTCTAATTTGTAGCATATTTAATTCTTCTATTAGATTGTAAGCTGTTTTGGGAGCAAGGAGCCCATCTTATTCATCTATGTCAATTCACAGAAAGTGCTGAACTCAAGTCAGGAAAGACAGGTTTGAATCCACCCACACTTACTATTAGAGTAATTCTCTCTTTAGACCTGTAAAAGAGAGAAACTTTCTACTTACAATTTTGATGTGAGGTTCACGTGAGATAATATGAGTGTTTTGGAAATCTTCAAGTGCTATATAACTCTCATTACTCAATATCATTTAAATAAAAGTTTTGGTAAAACATCTTTTAAATGGAATTAGAAAATCATGTAGTGAAAGCTTAAAAAGAAAAAGTACCCTGTCATTTCTCAAATTTAATTTTCCTATATTGAATTTTCTTAAAGCATTACATAATCTTTTAAAAAACCTGCCAGATAAAATGTTTTAATTTTATTACTCATTTGCTGTTTGTTAGTGGTCATAAAGGTCATGTTTTCATATGAAATACTAACATGTCAACTTTTTACTCCAGATAAGCTAACTCTTTAAGCTTTTCTGCTTTGAGCTCAACAGGTGATCAAATGTTCAGCAATGCTAATTTGGCTTAGTTTATTTTATAAGAGAAGTTGATCTTCTACATAGGTACATTCTCAAGGAGGATATACCAACCTTCCTCACAAATGACAATGTACACATACCTAACAGAAAGTAAGCTTTTTGAAGCTAGGGGCTTTTTTCATGTCATCTTTTATAGAAATGGCAAGTACAGTAAGTGCTTAATTCTTGATAGAATGAATTCCATGGCCAGAAAACTAAATGACATTTTATGGCCTAATACCAAAAGGTCTTCAAGTTTAATGACCGACAAAGTCTTCAAGTCTCTTAAGTCCCGGTCATCTGCAAGCACCAAAGTAAATGGAAAAAACAAAAACAAAACTATTATAGGTATATCCTGGTTCCTCATTCTCTGTAATTTACTTAATTTGAAGAAGCTATGGTAATATACAAATAACTATTACTTTCTAAATGAATTATATATAGCAGCAATAACTTAGCCTACCTAACTCCAATGGGCCATGATTTTAGAAATGACCTACTTTGTTTATATAAGAATTTATACTAGTAATAACTATTTCGTGTATGTAGACACACTGTTACCCAGTAGTAGAGAGTATGAATGAGTGACAAGATGTCAAATAAGTTTGTTAAAAGGTAGAGTTAAGGTATTTTACATATATGATTATGTCTGCCCTAATGCTGATAACATACAAAAAAAGAGTACTTAGAAGAGTAAGCTCATCTTCTTTCTTCTCATCCATTCCACGTGAAAATTGTTTTTTTTATTGACAGAATAGTAATTGTCCAGATGTCAGTACCCTATAATTCATTTAAAACATCCAAATAATAGATTGTAACATAATTGCACAAAGGTCACCAAAACAAGCGCTGATACTGAAATAATTTTGTACAACCATAGTAAAGATCTTACTGTTTAGAAAAGTTGAGTACTGAGCTCTCAATTGTCTACATACCAGTGATATTTTATGGATTATCCTAAATTATTTAATCCCAAATCTTTTGCCATTTGTTCCCAAAGGATTCAGCTTCCCAATTATTTAGTAAGCATGGGCTCAGAACATTGATTATATATTTGAAGCAAAACAATCCAGAATGCAAATCTGCTATAAAATCACATTCTATTACAATGTCAAGTAGAAGCATCTTTTGGATTACCTACAATACTGATCACCAGTAACAGCAATGAATAATTGAGTAGGCAATAAATACAGAACTAAAATATACAGAACTCATTTCCATCTTATCCAAGTAAATTTTAATTGCTTACAGGAAGAGGAAAGGAAGAACTGAACTCACAGAAGAGGATACAATGAGGTATAATCCCCATTCAAGGAGAAACCTACACTAGTACAGTCAATTGTCAATTGTTTGAAAATCCAGTTTGAAAATTACTTAGACCTGTTTTTTCTTTTACTATTAGCAAGATTTGTTAAGGTTTTGTTATGTGAAAACTTCCAGATGATGTTCACAACTAAGATAAGCCAATTTAGCTATGTTGACAGCTCTAAACTCTTGGTTGTAAAAATGAGATACAAGAAGCTGTATAGAATTCCATTACCTGCGTTAAACTACGTCCATTTTATCCTCATATATTTGTTTACAAGTTTTTGCATTTTAAGAAATACTGATACTTAGTGAAAGGTTGAGTATGTTAGTAGCAAAACATGTTTGTGTCACATTCACTCATACTTTATAATGAGCTCCTTGGATAAGGGTTAGAAGCATGTAGCTTGCTCCACCAGATAGGAAACTAAAATGATAGAAACTTCAATTCTAAGTCAGTAATATTAAAATGGGAAAAAGACTCTTTCAGACATTAAAGAGTCTTCACACAAAGCTAATTTGAAGGTTTTCTTTATACAACTGGTATTCTGCAAACTTCATTTTAGGTCAATAGCAATGGCATTTACTGTATTTAAGACATTTCAAGTTAACAAAAGTAAACAAAAACTTATAATTCAAATCATTCTAGGATGCACTGAAACTTAAAAACAAGTCTAAATTTAAGAGACCAGATTGAATCATTGTACATTCTCAATTGTAGATAAAATGTGATATGATTTTATAGTATGTTTAACAAAGGCAGTGGATACATAACCGTAAAGGAATTACTACACTGTTGCAGCACAAATAAGGACTTAGTATATATTATTTAACATTTATCATATTCTCTTCCCCGCAGCCTGGCAGGAGAAGCAGTATCTTTTTATTGAGCACATGAAATATTTCAAAATCTATAGTCTCAGACAGCAAGCAGATATAATACAAATAGACATTTGTCAATATGCAACTTACTGTGATTTAACCATATCACTTGTTGCAGTAAGAAAACAGGATCAAGAAGAGGCATGAAAAGCTACCTATAATAATGTAAGCCCAAGCCATCTCTTTATATATAGTGCTGTGAAAATACATTTGTAATTAAAAGCAAAATAGGATTAAGTTAACACAGTTCCCAAAACCTAAATACAGAACTTTACAGCAATTAATCTGCATAAAGGATTGTGTAGACATTTACACTACCAATAAACCTCCCCCAAAGCAAAGACAAAATGAAAACAAAAAAATAAAACCCAAGGGTTAAGAAAAAAAAAAAAAGCAAGTGCAGCAATAATGAAAATATTTGGATCCTAAATTGCTTATCCTTCATCTGGTAAAACAAAATAACTTTAAAGCCACTGACATCACGTTTGTTTAGGAGCATGGCTCTTACAATTCATGCCTATTTTTAATTATGTGCCTTATTTTAAAATTTATTTTGAATGATATTTAAACTGATCATGTAACTTTTACTTTACTGCCACTATCTTATCTTCCTCCACAAGATAAGAATGGAAGTAAGCATGCAAGGAAAAGAAGTCTAACTTTTAGTTACCCTGGCCTGTACTGAAATTTCCTATGAAATAATATTAGCATTTTCTCACTTTAACTCCATGTTTCTCTAACTTGAGTAATCACTTTTTTGTACCCAAATCATTTTCTCATGTTTTAATATCAGTAGGTAAAAGGAAAAAAAAATAAAAACCCAAACATAGACAAACTGAGGGCATCAGAATTTCTGTTTAAAAAAAGACGACCATCACATGCATAAGAAATTTTTAAAATTCAAATATATACTTCTTTAAAATAAATATATGCATGTATAAAAAAAAAATCTGAAAACTTTCTGAATAAACAAATGCTTAAACTTTCTGAATTTTGGAAGAAAAAAAACCCAACCCAAACCCCTGCCTTATAATTTTAAAATATTTTTTCCTAGTTTTAAGAACAATCTGTGATTATAATACTTCAATCCTAATTGTTTTAGAGGCACAAACCAGAGGGGATTAGAATTTAAATGCCTATCTGGGGTCCTGTAAATGATACAGTCAAACATGAATACTGAAGCTATAATCATTCTATCATTATAAAGCAGATATTTATGAAAATAGCCATTAAATATTAATTCATAAGCTTATTTTAAATTCTATATTAAAGGTATAAACTGGGGAGAAAAATTAGTGATCTGAAGTGTTACTAAACTGTTGACTGACGAAAAGTTTTTTTAAAAATAGAACTTAAAAAAAAATTACTTAAACATATGAATTTAAGACTTATTTTATTCAGCAAATTGATTTATTTACACAATGGGGAATGCTGGTTGGATTTAGTCAATGTAAGAAAAACAAACTGAACAGAGACAATACTGAACTATATATATATATATATATATTTATATATTTATAGCAGAGTTGACCAATTGATTCCTTACCTGTATCAGGAACATCAAGCGCAACAGTGGAGCAGTATCACAGGACACTGATTTAACAATACACCACCTAGGTCCAGTAATACCCTGGCAATTTACCAATGCAATTACCAACTTTTCCCTTTTTTTTGTGTTTTTTTTTTCTTAAAAAAAAGAAAAAAGAAAAAAAAAAAGTCGGCAAAACCAGCATTATGGTCTAATAAACAGAGTATAAACTCTGAGGTGAGTGGGTCAGTAAAAACCTTATCAGACCATCCACAATTTATATAATGACCTGATTTGCTTCAGACCACTAATACAGAATTAAAATGGGTGAAAATATCACTCTTTAGAAGACAACAATGATCTGATAAGGATTTGACTTAATGGAAGTTAAAAAGGAAAAAAAAAGTTGCAGAGCACAGCCCCTATTAGAACAAGCTAACTTTCCAGATTTTCCAAATTAAAAAAACAAACAAACAAAAAAAAACCCCCACTTCAACATGAAGCTACCATACAAAGTTTTTCCATTTCTCTTTGTAAAAAGTTCAGAGTTTTCAATTTAATCCTGGGTGGTTTTTATTGAGAAGGACAGTTTTGGCCTGGACTTCCCCTTGCCCAGGATAATTTTTTGCTCTTCTTTTTGTTGACGTTGTCTCTCTTGTTCTAGTTTCATCCTTTCCTCATGAATCTTTCTTTGTTCTTCAACAATTCTCAACTGTTCTTCAGCCTGTAAGTTAAAGTAAAAATAACTCTAAATTTTACTGATTTTCATATAAAATTTTTTATTCCAAAAATACATGTAGTAAACCTAAACAACTTCATACACACACACACACACACACACACACACAGACGCACATATAAAATTCTTGACATTCTGTATTTATGAGGGGACAAATAAGCTAAAAGCAAAAATTAAAAGATTTTTTTTTTAACAAAAGGTAATTAACTTCCTGGGTAAGTGCTTGTTGATTGCTGACTGAGGGTGTGTTCTGTCCTTGCAAGTCAGTAAGATCCTGTTAAAGCTATGCCTTCTAAATAGGATGAAAGAAGTTCATAAATTTTAATTCCAAGGCATTAGAAGAGCATAAAAATAGATTAAATTATGTATCCACATTGATGAAATCATTGATTTTTCAAAGTACTCTGCTTAAATAAGAACATCTTAATAAATCTTAGGAAGAGTTTGTTTTGTCCCATTTATTTCTGGTTCATCCCTAAACTTCCTTTTTTTTACTATTTCCTACTGATGGGACATGAAAATCATGGAACCAGTGTGACCTAGCCTATAAACTCATGCTAACTTCTAATGGGCACAATATTGCAACTCATTTTATTAATGCATCTATTGATTGCTTAACACAATTACCACATTTGGCAAGTTCTTCAATTATCCGTCACCAAACTCAAAACCTTTACTCTCTAGGATCCCACACTTCTTCAGTCTTGGCCAAGCATTTTCCCCCCAACTGAAAAAGTAAAGTTTAAAGTACAAAGAGAAGCTCCCTATTTTCCTCTCCTTTCTAATTTCAACTCTTGTCTCACCTATTTTGTCTTTCTTTTTCTATCTCTCAATAAATAATATCCTTTCTTACCTTCAAGGCCAACCCCTCTATCTATTTATCTTTTACCCCATCTACTTCTGCTTTCTTATATCCTTCTCAACTTGACTGTTTACCTTCTCTATGCGATCTTTAATCTTACAGTCAACCAACAAATAAATTGCACATATACCCCTCTTCTAAACTCAGAAATTTTGTGATGCCGTCCACTATTCCTGGGACATTTCCCTTGACCTTATTGGTTTAGCTACCATTTGCTATTAAGAAGAGCAGCTGGTCCATACTCATTGCTTATTTTTCTAAAGTTACCAATGTCAAATCAATTTCTCTATTAACCTTCTTGACATCTTTACAGTATTTTATACTAATACCAATCACTTTTACACCACCTCCTTTCTATGTATTCTCTCCCACAAAAATTTCATCCATTCCCCCAGCTACATCTTCTACAAAGACTTTGCTGTGGAGCACCAATGCTATATTACCAATGGCCTGCTGATCACTTGTAACAGGCTATCCAAAATGTCCCTAAAATCTTAAAACCTATATGACCTCATGTAATCTTAATCCCTAATCTTAACTTTCAGTACTCACAGACATGAACCCATGCTCTAACCAAACTGCCCTATTCATCATGGTCTGACCACACCTGGGTATTTCCTTTAGCACGTGCTTCCTTCTTTGACTACAAAAAACACATGGATCAAAGTCTACATTAAATTATGCCTCAAGATCACTGATCACTTTGGTAAAAGTGACAGCAACACACCTGCTCCCCCAATTATATATATATATATATATATATATATATATATATATATATATGCAACTCAAATGGTACTTAGCTCATTCTGCCTCATATTGTAGTCCTGTTTATCTCTCACCCAACTAGGACTGTAAACTCACTAAGTAAGAGACAGTGTCTTATTTAACATTTATCTATCTATATTTACTAGTATAAGAGTGCTAGGAGATATTCTGCCCTCTAAAATTAATGTGACCTAAATAAATAATAAAGGACAGCCTTTTATTTTTCACACACCTAACTTCACTAATGGTCTGAATAATAAAAGCAGGAATGAAATCACTGCCAGCCTTTGGGCTGGCAGAAAAAAAAAGGATAATTGAAATAACTTCGCCTAATGTAGTAACTGTGCTAAGCAATCATCAGGAGGAAAAAAAAAACCAACCCAATACTTCCTTATCCACCCAAATCCATTCACATTTGGGAGACAAGCTCACTGGAGGCAGAGAAGAGACCAAAGAACAAAGGCAGCAAAGACAACCTTTACAAACCAGGGAAAGAACTCAACCTGAGAAAGACTCATCACAACCAAAATGGACATTCATGAACTGGTCCCTGATTCTCTAGCCCCATCCTAATCCTTAATTAAAAGACTTTTTGTCTTTATGTCTAAGCCTATTATAATTTGGCCAAGGTAATCTAGTACATATGTCTAGCCAAAATCTAATGTTGTAAGGTCTCAATGCTGTACTGTCAAATGTTTTTACTTCTTTCACATCTCCCTGGCATATCTCCCAGAAGCAAGGAATAAAATTCCTCCATTCCCCCCTCAACCTAATGTTTAGAATAATGTTTACAGTATAAGAGTCATTCAAATATTTGTTGAGTTACTGAAGGAGACAGTTAAGGGACACAGATTTAAGTCAGGAAACTTATGGGTTATGGTCCCAGTTCTGTTACAAACTAGCTATGTAATTGGGTAAAATGTTTAAATACCCAGTGATATAGTTCATTATTTATCTATAAAACAGGAGGATGATGGAACTTTTCTTCTTAAATATGTTGAAAGAAAACATAAATAACATCCTGATGTATGTGTTAATAATGAAGATAGAAGATGGATAAGTAAAACTTGTGATAAAAACAATGGAAATTAAGCTCTTTGAAAAAATATAATTATCACATGCAATAAATATCTTTGAGGGTTGGACCTGAAGTTAAGAAAACCTAGGTTCATATACATTTACATTGTGACCAGGGTGCAAGTCATTTAGCCTTTCTGAGCCTCAGATTCCAAATTAATAAAATGCAAATAATAGCAATACTCAAATAAGATAATGCATTGTATATTACCTTGCAAACCAAACTTTCAAGTGCTACATAAATGTCAGTCATTAATAATTTCATTAACAGATTTAAAGAGAAGGAATATCACTAACATTTAAATTCATTTACAAAACCCCTATGTTCATATAACATTAAACACCAGAGTAACATAGACCACAAAGCATGGAAAACACTCTAAAATTTAGTCTATGATTCTGTGAATCAATTTTCAACCAGGGCCTATAACCAAACAGTCTCCATTTTACAAGTATATTAACTGGTTTTCAGAAATAGTATAGAAAAACCACTACACTCAGAATCCACCTAAAACCTATAGAAGACTCATCGGTTCCCAGAGACAGTTTGTCTTCAATGCTGTATCTTATCAAAATTTTCTGCTCTTTGGCTTCCAAGGATCCAATACCACTCTTAATAGTGGAAAGGGGACAGACTCTGCCTCTGACACGTATTGCCTGTGTGCTTTTGTGTAAGTTACCCAACCTCTCTGGGCCTCAATTTCCTCCAATGTAAGGTTAAGTACTCTCTGGGATTCCTTGTAACTCTAAATCTATAACTTATGCTTCAAAATTACCTCTCATTCCACCTTTCCCCTCAATATTTTATCAATAAATTAAGCATACAAACTAATTTAACAAGATTAAGGTGTGACTATTTCCTCCCCCATCCCATGAGGACAACTTGCCAAACTGTCAAAGCTGAGGCTCTGAGTATCCTGACCTATCCAATAGTCTGTGACATCCCCTTGCTAAGACTTGCCAATGACTTGTATCACAAGATTCCAAGATTTTCAGAGGCAGCAACTTCTGCCTTTAATTCAATAAACATTTATTAAATGTTCATTAAAATTTATTAAAAGCAAGGAATGCTGCTGTGTAAAGGATATAAAGATAAAACATAACCTCAATAATTCCTGGCCCATAAGGAGTTCAAATTCTACTAAAGAAATGAATGTGATGTGTATAAAGACAAATATAATAAACAAATATAAAAATGTGATGGGGTCAAAGAAAAAAAATCAAACAACAAGCAGCATTTATTAAAGGTCCTATGTACCAGGCACTGGGGATACAAATTTAAAAAAAATTAAGTTAAAAAGCAAACAACCCTTACTTTCAAGGAGCTTACCCGGGGTAGAAAAATGTATACAAGCATATATAAAATAAATATAACCAACACAAGTTAGGAGAGAGACCAGGAAAAGACTTGTGTATAAAGGATTCTCTGAAGCAGAAATGAGGAAAGAGTGCATTCCAGGAAGAAGAGAGAGCAGTGCAAAATCAAGAATATATGTGATGGGAGCACTTTGTTCGAGGAAAGAAGAAAGTCCAGTTTAGTCTGGACAGCACAGGAAGCGCACAGGAAGTATAGTTATAATCAGACTGGAAAGAGAGATTGGGACCAGGTTGTAGAGCTTTAAAAGCCCAACAAAAAATTCCATAATTAGTTCTAGAGGCAACAGGGAGCGAGCACAGGTTACTGGGGAGTGCTTTGGTCAAATATAGTCTTTGAACTGAAGGGAAAGAATATTGGTAACAGTAGGAGAGTCTGGATTAAGGGGGAAGAAATTTGAGGTAGAAAGAAGCATGAGTCTACTGAAGTAGTGGTCAAGAAAGTGATTAATAAGGTGACAAGATTATGGAATGAGATGTGGAGGTAGAAATGACAGGGTCTGACAAGTGAATGGATATGTGAGGATGAGGGAGAGTAAGGAGTCAAGGACAATGAAGTCAGGAACCTGGGAGACTAGGATAGTGCTGCTTTCAACAGAAATAGGACATAGAAAATTAAGAAACTGAGAGATCAGGATGTTTTTAGATCAACATGAGGAAGATAGTAAGCCAGGTGCTAAATGCTTTAAAAAGACAGGGAGAGTGAACTGGGGGGTCAGGGTCAGGAGACAATAGCTACCATGAGCATTATAAGGAGAAAATTTTTAATGGAATTCTGAAGAAGTTGCTGAGTGATGATTGCACAGGGAGAACTGAAGTGGCAATAGGGAGCAAAGAGTATTCTGACACCCTCCAAAACCACTATCAGAAGTTGAGATAAGAGAAGGTAAAGCCAGTGATGGAC